CTTGACAACCCCATTCTGTTACTTTACATGGTCTTCCACGTCTTGGCTGAGTTTCTTTTGTTCCTAAATACCTCCACTTTGCAATAATACCACTTGCAGTTCAATGGAGGAATATCTAGCAGGGAAGAAATTTGACAAACTGACTTGGGGGGGCTTCAGCCCCCCCAAGATGACCCCAAGCCTCCCCCCTAACAATATAGTAACGAAATGAAGATGTCTTAATATAAAATATTAAATACATAATTCGCTTATAATAATCAAGTGGTCCGCTTACAGTGTTCATTTTGGATCATTTTACACATGACAACATATGGAAAAAAATAAAACTGTGCTAATTATTCTTTTTTTTTTTTTACTTTCCTTATAGCCCTACATTGCCTTGTGGTAGCCCGTCTGCTTCTGGCTAGCTACCTGAGGCTAATGCTGCATGCACAGAAAACATGACGGGAAAAAGAAAGTCATTTTCTCTCAATGACAAATATAGACTCATCAAAGCTTATGATAAACTGTCAAAAACACTCAATGTGCTAGTTTCTCTTATTTGCACTATGAGGTTAAATACAGAAACGTATGAGAACTTAGAAATTCTACATATCATAGTAATGTTTTGATTTAGGTAGTTGTAAGCATGAAATTTAGGTAGTTGTGTGCATGAAAAACAGTAGCAGTAAAAATGTAACATATAAATTGATTACGGACTCAATGAGGATTCATTGATGCAGTAATATATTGATTGAACCTTTGGATTGTTTTACTGGTAAATGGAGGCATGGAAATGTGTTTTTTTTTTTTACAACAAACGAGATTGTAAGTGGTTTATGCATTTTGTTTTATTTTTGAGATGATGGATTTTTGAAATGATGAAAGAACATTAAAATACGGTGTAGTGGGAATTATACATTTTGACGTAGTGGAAGATTTTATGTTTACTTAGAGGATATTTGATATGATCATGGAGTACTGTCTGTGTGAAAGGTGGGGGCTGGTTAGTAGCCGACCAGGAAGAAGGTCACACTGATAATTACAGAGCTGGTTCTGACCGGTTTTCTTTGGTTGCACGTGGAGAAGGCAGTAACTGTGAAACTTCATTCTTACAGTATCTTATAGAATGATAAATATGAAGCAGAAGTATAAAGGAGCTGCACAAGAAAATAATTTTGGGCATTTATATGCAGGAATGTGGTCCCGACATATCTAATGCATCAAATAACCTAATAAAAACCTTTGCTGTCTTCATACCCTTCAAGCCTGCAGTTGTCACCTCTGTCATCTCGTTCTTTTTCCTGTCTTTACAGGAATCATATCTGTTTATGCGTTATCAGTCTGGGGCCTGTTACACATGAAGTACAAACAGACATAACTACAAACATATGGATAAAAATGAAAATCAATAATTAAAATGAAAAGAACATAAAACATTTAAGAAAAGATATTGAAAGTGACAAAGTGCCAGTCGATTCAATTATGTGAAAGCAATAGAAAATAAAAATGTTTTCAGTAAGGACTTAAAAGTATGCATTTGGCATTTTATGTTCACTGGAAGGAGGTTCCAGCATCTGACAGTGTAATGATTAAATGGCATTTCACTATACTTTGTTTCGGCTCTGGACACCACTAGCTGACCAGTCCCTACTGATCTAAGAGACCTTCCAGGATTATATTCTTCAAACATATCAGCAATATAATTTGGGGCTAAACTGCTCAGCAATTTTTAGACCAGTACTTTGAAATAAATTCTGTAGAAAACGGGAAGCCAGTGTAAGGTCCTGAGAGCTGGAGTAATGTGCTCTCTCTTCTTGGTGTTAGTAAATGGGAAGCCAATGTAAGGATCTGACAGCCGGAGTAATGTCCTCTCTTTTCTTGGGGTTAGGAGATGGGGAGCCAATGTAAGGATCTGACAGCCGGAGAATGTCCTCTCTTTTCTTGGGGTTAGGAGATGGGGAGCCAATGTAAGGATCTAACAGCCGGAGAATGTCCTCTCTTTTCTTGGGGTTAGGAGATGGGGAGCCAATGTAAGGATCGGAGACCTGAAGTTGTCAAGTTTTGTCAAGTGAGCAATCAACATAGACAGTCTCATTGTCAAAATGGATTTGTCACAGTTGAAGTATAGTTCAAAGTTGAATAGACACAGACAAATGTTTTGTTACATGTTAAGTTGACATGGACAGTGAGTTATTGACATTTTTTGGCACGTATGGGAACCCCATACACATGTCGACATATTTTTGGCACAAATGGAACCCCATAGTTATCCCTGTATTCTAGGCCATGTTTTTCAAGAGTGTCAATTATCATTTTTGTTAGACCTCTGCATCTAAGTTTACTGCTGACTCAAAGTGTAAAAAACTGTCATGCACATTGTAAAAGTATCATTGGCCGGGGCAGGCTAATGGTTAAAAGTTTATTACAAAGTAGTCCCCCTGTCTTTGTAGGGAAAGCCTGAGTGCTTGGTATCAAAGATGGTAAAACAGTGTGTAGTTCACTTTGAAACCTGCTTCTTATTCCTGAGAATTCATTGTTGTCCTGGTTGTGATGTGACAAGGGCCATGGTTCCAAAGTTAACATAGTTATTATTCAATGAGTTAGGTTTTCATATTTTCAGTAATACAGTTTTAATATCCGATATGGCATCATATCCCAAATGAAAAAATGTCTACAGTGAAATGTAATCTGAGAAATTCAGCCACTAGAGGCCGCTATTGCTACAAGAAAAAGCAAACAATAATCTCATGAAGGATATGTAACAAGAATGTCAATAAAATTCATCTAGTTATTGCAAGAATAAAACAAAAGATTAATTAAGGCTTTGGACTGGGAGTGCAGGAAGCAATAACTATAGAGATAAGACCAAACTGTGTATACTCCAGGTGTCTCCTAGGTACCTGCTGGGGAAGACCCCACTTTTGGAGGATTTGGGATAGGATTTGAAAGGTTCCTTTGTAACGGATCGCAACTCTGATGTCTGGTGTGCTCCAAAAAGCTCCTGAAGTCCAGATGAGGGTTTGTGGAGCTGGTATTTTGGAGATAATGTGGAGTAAGGGGCAGTGACAGAATATCTCTGGACATGCCCAAGTTGTGTCATATGACCGTCTGCCTAATTTTATTACGGGGCGATCCTGCAGCCTCGTTTTGCAGGGAAACCAGTAAGCTCCATATGCCTCAGCTCAACAGAGATGTTTAAATAAGAGCGATAAATTCACCTGCGACAGTAACAAGGGGATGGATTGTATACAGGCACCTTAAAAACTGTCTACTCTGATCCTGTCCGGCGATTTTCCATCAAGCAAAAGTCTGTGCTGCTCAGACCCACCCCCTGGCATGCTTGTGCTGGTGAAATGGTGAGTACTCTGTGTTTCAGCCCACTTCTCTTACTGAAGTGTAGTGTAGGAAATGCAGTAAAGGCCATAGATCTTCTTAGTGATTCTCATGACTGAATCTGCTGTTCAAAATGATCAAAGGTGGGCAGAGTACAGAAAAATTCCACTTCTTATACCAGAGATAGCAATATAGCCTACAATAAATTACCTAGCTAAGTTGAATAGGTTGAAATGTTGTGATAAAGCCATATAATAAAATTAAAGCTTACTTCTATATGTTTCTTCAAATTGGAGACTTGACTCTTGAATGCAGATAACAGGAAGGCACAGCAGAAATTACATGACGACAAAGGTATGCTTTTAAAAGTTCTCGCGGGTGAGGCCATGGATGTACTACTTCTGTAATCAAGACATCTCTGCAAGCTACATGATTGTTAGGGGTTACTCATTTTTATATATAATAAATCACCAATTTAGGAGCAATTTCATATGATTGGCTATGGAAAATAAACAGTCCAATCGCTGTTAATAGCTTCAAAAGAGGGGAAAATAAGAGCCAATAAAATTAGTAGGCTAAGTTAGGGAAGTAGATACATTTGCAAGACAAAACAGTGGAAGTATTTTTACAGCATTTCATATGTACTCAAGAACAAGTAAATGAATACCAGCTTAATAATGTATTCATGTACATATTGTGTCTGCCCTCTTGTCATGTCGCAATGTGTGGTTCATGTCCAACCCCCATGTTTGCACTCGTGCACTTAATCTGCACTTTACTCCTGTAATTGTATAAATACAGCCCCATGTGTCTTATGTTGCACAGTGGTCCTGGGAAACAATGTCTCATACCACTATATACTTGTATGACTGGCATGACAATAAAGTCCACTTGCCTTGACTTGACTACAAAGAGTATTTGTAGTTTTGTTACTACTGTATATACCCCTGAGCAAGATGATTCTCTCCCCAAGATTACACAGGGACAGTATGGCTTTGTAACCCTAGAGGGTTTTAGGGTTCAATCCAAGTGGTGTAATTCTGGGCAAGTGTATGTTGGTTCAAGAGCAATATCATCAGTATAAGGGGCGATGCAGCTTCAGCAAGCTTCAGCAGATAAACAGATTACCCTGAATCAGCTTTTTGCCTGCAGCTGACTCAGGCATTGCAGGAACTCAGACGGAATGCACTCCCTGCTTAATGATACAGATGTTCCTTTTTTGAAAGGGGAATGAAGACTCAATGGGATGTGAGTGACCCAGTGCACAGAACAAACATTCACTGTTCCGGAGTCGTTGCCAGTGTGTCCAGACTGACCTCACTGCTCGCAGGCATATAGCTGAAACTCAGGCTATCCAGATTTCCAGCATGATTGCCGGTGAGTTCAGGGTAGTCAGAGAAATATCAGATATAAAGGTTTTGTTATATTTCAGTAAACATCCTGCTGTTACAATATAGATTAATTTATGACTGGTGGAGACATTTCCTGTTTCATAACTGTCTTTGAATTCAAGGCAATGCATATAAAAAATAATGTATATAACCACCCATACATGGAGGAACATAATGCTCAGTTTTATTGTTGTTTTTAGAATGAAGGTTAATAAACTTGCATCAGTTACATTTTTAACCTTTTTAATATGTATCCATTCTTTGGATTATCTGCCCCATACACAGACCATCTGCCAGCTGCTCTCATGCTCCTGCTCCTCTTCGATGACCTGAGCGCTGACATGGGGACGACTCCCAACCTCAAGCAGATCGTCCTGGGACGGTGCTTCAGCTATGTGACACTCATTAGTCCTGGTTCTAGGTAAAATGGGGAGAGTGGGGGCGCAGGGGTGGGATCAGAAACGGTGATTTATTCAACAGCATCACATTTGAGAACAGGTATACTGTACTTTGAATGACACTGATCAAACTTCTCTGTTTCTATAAATATGGGAGAATGGTATGGTATATAAATTCCTGGTATTTATGGTCAATGTTTGGTTTCAGCTCCTTAGTTTGTCTACTTCATGTCCTCTCTTTTCATAGTGCTATAATTGCACATGCTCAGAACCTGTTCTTCAAAAAAATAATTTCTTTAGTGATTTTGTTTATCTCAGATTTCAGTCACTCATAGTTTATGAATCTCATAAAGTAAAAATATGAACATCTTAACTCAGGCATAATATTTTCAAAGCTGTTTTCAGTTCTCCTCCAGGATTGAGATGAATTTTCTAATTCCTGGGTATTAAAAATGATCATTGCAATGACTGTTCTGTCCGTGATTTACTGTGTCAAAACATCTTCTGTACTTTTTGTGCTATTTCACTATCAGTCAGCAAATAAAGATGCTGATTAAGACGCAATTGCTATTTTCTGTGACACATTGTAATGTACACACAACACTGACCTCAAGTGGTAGCAACAAACATAGCAATCTGTGCCCTAGTCTTGTTCTACATTTCTGTGATTCTTCACTCAGTAATAAGGTTTCCTGCTCAGTTTTAATCATAAAGTTAGGATTCACATTATGTTCATTACTTATTATGTAATGTTCAAATTTGCATGCAATAATAAGGAAAACTAGGAAAAATAATGTTGTAATGATTTTGTCATTATCTAATCTTCATATAATACTACCTAATATTTTTTCAATTTTCTTCTGTCGGTATGCTTTTCTCATTTGGGGGTAGTCTAGTGGTCAGGATTTACTGCCCTCACCACTATGCCCCAGGTTCAAATCCCAGTTAAGGAATGCCTTTTTTCATCTGGGATCAATATCAAGTCAAAGTTTATTTACTGTATGAAATGCACAACAGTACAGAAACCAGAAAAAAAAGATGCAGGCATTGAAAGTTTATCCATTAGCTCCCTATAATAAGTTAATAAGAAGTTGAAATAAAAATTAAATGACAATAAATAATACAGTTAATCTTGTCTTTATCTTATTTCGGATTCAGAGCTTGTAAGCGTATATGTTTTTGTGTCTTTGTTTGTGTGTGTGTGGGGCTGCTCAGGTATAACTGTGAGGAGATCTGGAGGGAGTTCCGGAATGCGGTGATCCAGAGAGCGCCTTGCAACGTCAGAGTGAAGGACTACAGCCGCATGTTCCACGCATCTCCCCAAGCCCTCCCCTGTGACACAGTCAGTCCCACTGATGTTCACACCCACACCACAATGCACCAGCACCATCTTCTTGCAGCTTGTGTGAGACATGTTCCTGCTCGCCAGCTCCTCTTCTGGAGTAAGACCCGGGAGTTTGTACACAGCTACTCAGCCATCACACGCCGTTTCTGCACCCTGGAAGACACTCTGGTTGGATATATGTTCAACGACCTGATCTGGTGTGGACAGAAAGAGAAACACAGAGGTGAAGCCTATCCAGAGACATAGCTAAAAATTCTTTGGTAGAAAATGTCAACCCCCAGTAGAATTTGCTCGCCATGGTGGGGGTACAATTTACCAAGCAGACCCCCCCTGCCCCCCTCCCCCCTTAATTTTTGCGTAGCGTCAGATACAATGTCATGTAGATGTCAGGGTCATTATGGAGAAGAATGTAAACTTCATCTCTCCCTCCCAATGAGTATTTTTCTCTCCCACTGAGTATTTGCTAGAAAGTTCTCCCTGACATCTGTTTGCCAAAAAACATGCAAAACTCACACACTTCTTCTCTATGTGTTTCTGCAAGGGTTCGACTTCATCTCCTGTCCAGAGTGGTCAACCTGCGCAAACCACCCAGTGTACTCCCTGTGGAAGCAAGCATCACAGAATGTGAGCATGTGACCACAATTTGTTACAGAGCAACACAACCAGTGCTAAACCGGTGAAGTCTGAAGCCTTCCTGCTGTACTGCTGATGGGAAACTATGTGCTGTAAGGCAGTGATATGGTGTCACGTTCATTTGGTCACATGCGTGGGCATCCTGAAGCACTGATGAGCCCCATTACGACCTTATTAGTAATACAACAATCTTCTATTTTCTCACTCAGCAAGACAGACGAGGTCCTTGTGTTTATATGCCCTGATCCATAGACATTCATATTGTTTTCCACTGCCTGGCCCCCTTGCTAAAGTTAAAACAGCTGCCCTCTTTGTCCATTCCCCTCCTTTAGTTTGTTAAACCCTCAAAGCCCCAGTAGATTCCCTGTCCATTCCTCCCATTCCCCTGTCGCATGGATCCTCCCAAAGCAAATCTCACAGTCATTTAAACGTCTCTGAAAACTGACTGGGGTATGTATCCTCTCCCCAGCCCTAACAGCTATTAGAGCTGCTGGCTAAAGCACAGCCCAAAAAACGGCTTCTTCCTGTCCCAGCTGTGCATACATTTAAAATGAATTACACGTCCCCAGAAAAGAAAGCTAGCAGCTTAATGTTTATCAAATGTTATGGCTTGCTATGCAGTACCTCAGACGCAAGATTTTGGGCTGATTGTCTTGGGTCCCCCTGTATCATGTTGCTTTGAGTCTTCCTTATAGCTAAAAGTATCCTTTGTATCTTGTATTATTTTCCTAAAATTACTTATGCCCTAAGATCCCACACCGTGAAGGAGAACACAGACATCTTGATCGATTCGGTCAGGTCCAATTCTATTAGGCTGATGTAGTCCGTTTCTGATCAACCCTCTTCTCTGAGTTCTTAATGTATTAACCAGATAACCCAACCATTACTACAAATTCCCAGTCCCATATCTGCCATCACTGAAGTACATTCATATGTAATTGTATTTTTCTTCTCATATTTGTATATTTACTGATGCAGTTCTTCTATTAAGAAGTCAGAAATTACTAGATAAATGTTTCTCATACTGGCAAATTCTCCTCTTAGCTTCTGGACGTTCACTATACTTGATAAAAGATAAAATAATTTACAGAGATTCAAAGAGATGGAAATACATAAGCTTTCTGCAGGTCTTTCCTCCAACACGCCATCCTGCATCTGAGGCTAACATCATCCCATGTCTGATGGTTTCTTCCTCCACCATCCCTAAACTGTCTTCATTGCACTGGATCTGTCTGCATATCATACAGTGATGATTTCTGTCCACCTTCTTAGTTTGCAGCTTCTGCGTGTGGAAACATCACTGTCATACTGAATGGCTCCATGGAGAATGCCTTCAACAGGACAAGGTGGGGGCTGTCCTTAATCTCACTCATCAGAGTTTGTGAGGCACCTGGCAGTTTACTGTACTGCATGTTTGCAGGTTACTGAAGTAACACATGAATCACATATATCCTTTTGATCAACACATATCTCTGCACTGTCAACAGTTCTAACATCATGGCATTTTGAAGTATGTCTACACATAGATTACGTATTTCTCTATTATAACTTCTTATTGCTGAACTTGCAATGGTTGTTCTTTCTATAAACCACTTGATCTACCAAGTTTTTACCAAGTGCACAAATGTAAGTTTAACTGCAGAGACAAACAAACTGGACATTTAACTGTTGTTTAACTGTTTTGAAGTCTGCCAGTGCTCCTGTATACTAATGTGGAGGACAGGTATTCATTCTGGTTCTGGTTCTATAACCATATTCATAGCATGTTTGGGAGTGTGGAGTTGGACGGCCTGAACCCCAGGATGGTGAACCATGTCAACATCAAGGTGGTAGCCAACCTGGAGGGCCCAATCATGTAGGTGTGACCAGCAGGGCTTTAGCCTCTACGTATCAAATTCTCATCACTTCCATGTGTGAACCCTAAAGCAATCAACCCATGACAGAAAACGCAATCCCTTATGCACTTGTCCTTCCTTATGTCAGCCTCTGTCTCTGCCTCTGTGGGCTTCTGTGTGTCTCCATCGCTAGAGACTCCTGCACAAAAGGATCCATTCTGAACCTCATCCAGATCCTGAAGACCAGAGGGTTTCGGTGGACCTGCACTGATACAGATATGTAAGTAGAGCTTTCCACGTGGATCAATATTATATACACTATATGGACAAAAGTACTGGGATGCCTGACCATTACACCCACAGGAATTTTTTGACATTCCATTCTAAATCCATAAGCATCAATATGGAGTTTGTCCACCCTTTGTAGCTATAACAGCTGCTTCTGGGAAGGCTTTCCACAAGATTTTAGAGTGTGTCTGTGGTCATTTTTGCCCATTCATCTAGAAGACCATTTGTGATGTCAGGCACTGATGCTGGATGTGAAGACCTGGCTCACAATCTCCATTCTAGTTCATCCTAAAGGCACTTGATGGGGTTGAGGTCAGGGCTCTGTGTGGGCCAGTTAAGTTCTTCCACACCAAACTTACCCAGCCATGTCTTTATGGACCTCACTTTGTGCACTGGGGCACAGTCATGCGGGAACAATTCTATGCTTCCAATTTTGGGGGGACAGTTTGGGGAAGGCCCTATTCTGTTCCAGCCTATGGATTTAGAATGGAATGTCATAAAAGTTCCTGTAGGTGCAATGACCACATGTCCCAATACTTTAGTCCATATAGTGTGTAGAAAACTGTAGATCAGGGGTGGCCAATCTTATCCAGAAAGGGCCACAGTGTATGTGGGTTTTCGCTGCAACTCCCTAATTAGATTACTAATTAGAGGACTGATTGACTGAAGAGTCCTCACACCTGGGTTTGAACAGCTGACCTAAAGGTTATCCCAAAAACCTGCACACACACCGGCCCTTTGTGAATAAGATTGGCCACCCCTGGCATAGATTGTTGATTATATATGTAGATTATACTGTGTCACATATCCTCCTGAGACCCCACCCATTCATTTATGTCCATTGTAGTGGACATTTTGTTTTTGCATCTTTTCACTGATGTAAGGAAACATATTTATTCCTGTTGTACACTAAAGAGGACAAGCTGTGAAATTAAAAATAAAAATAAATTTGAAAAAATCTAAATTGTAAGATGTCTTATTTCCTCCAAAGACAAATAACCTACAATTGAAGGGCACTTTTTTCCTTGGGTCTCGGGAGGATATACCTGTGCAATTTTCATAGATCTTTTATATGTACATTTTTAGTTACATGTAACACTGCAGTTCAGTAGTTCCTACACTGTTTAAGGTACTGCAGCAAACAGGAATGAGACAGTAAGTGCAGAATGTCTTCTATGCCTTATGTACCAACAGGACACTGCTGATTCTTCAGTGCATTCAGAACCCAAGACAGCTGTCATGCCAGATATTCCACAACAACATGCTATAGAATGCTGGGCGCCCTCTGCTGGAACAAAGGACACAGTCATTAAAACGCTGTATTATCAGTTATATCACTGGAAGCTTGTGGAAAGGAAGTAACAGCTTCTACTAACATCTCATCTAGATATCTACCTGTTCTAGGCTGCATAGGGCTCGGAGTGGGGATAGATCCCATTTGAGCTGTTCCTATAGCAGCATGTGGCTCAGTGGACTAAGCCTCTGTTGCCTGTCATCTGAAGGTTGCCGGTTCAAACCTGGATTTGGTATGTGTGTGGGCCCTTCAGCAAAGCCCTTAACCCCCAGTGTGCTGGGTGCTGCAGTGGGAGGCTGCCCTTTATGGCCAGCAAGATGGAGGAGGTGAAAAGAGAATTTTCCCATCGGGATCAATAAAAGTATCATTGTTTTTTTTTATTATGAATGGTTTTTAATTATCTGTGTCATAGAAGACTCATTCTGACAGGCTGTTTAGCAAACTCCTGAAGTACTATGTCAGAGGGCATTGATTAGATTAGAGAGTTGGAAGCCGTACAGCTTTTACCAAGGCAATGTCCATGTGTGTGATTGTGATTTCAAAACGCCTTGGTGTGACCTTTAAATATGTAAATATTAAGTCTGAAGTTGTTAAGTTTTGACTTTGGGAGTTCATTTGACGCAGTAAAAACACAGCTCCAATAATCTCCAGGGTGCAAAGTTCATTACACAGTTTTTATAAACAAACTGCGTGTTTATAATGCCTTTAATTTCTTTTGGTCGCCTGTTTCACGATCTACCAAATGACTTCATCACAGGTGTGTTTGTACATTGATACATTGTGTGTTTGTACATTGAATCCCCTGAAATGCATTTTATAAGGAAGTTTCAGGTTATCCCTGATGTTTAACACATGCTATTAACTACTGCATACATATGATTTATGATATGCCATGCTGGACAGTTGTCTGCTGTATAATCTTTATTAATAAAAGTTCCATATATCAAAATTCACATGCCTGATTTCTGCACTTTATATTCCCTATAATAATATAATTATAGAATTAAGAGTCATTAACATCATTTTATTTTCTGAATATATGAGCAATCCCTGAATATTGCTGAAAAACTACAGTGCAGGTGTAGCTTCCATGCATGGAACATTAATAAACTGATATTTCGCACGTTTTGGCTGTATCTCTATACAGTGTAAATATACAGTATTTTAGTGCATTTCCAGTCAAGGGTGCTAATGATTCTGGAGACCATTGTAAAATGTATTCACTTTTTAGCTATGTTTTTTTAATCTAGATCAGTCAATGAAGAAAAACCTGGTCCGGACATACACATGTGCACAATATGTTAAGTAGAATGTGAGCATTGTTAGAGTAACATTAGAATGAGTGGCAGGAGCTCTGACCCATCCTCCAGGTCAGCCAGTGAATGCAGTCGGAAATTCCTATTCGTGTGGGCTGCATTTGGCTGACACTGACTCCCAGCGGTTACATTTCTCTGAGCCAATGACTAAGGGATTTGGAAAAGCTGTCTGTCAGTAAACAATCTCGGCGCCTGCCATCCTCACTGTTTTTGTCTCTCTGACTTCCACACCACGCCAAATATATACATTGCAACCCTACAAATATGTTTCGAGGCGGGTTCTAACTTGTAAGTTTGCTACCTGCCTACGTGCCTTGATCAACAGCAAGTAATTTTCGGGGGGGGCATTTTACCACGTGGCTACGTGCCTATGGAGCAGAATTGGTGCCACCTTAAAATGAAGAGATGACTTCGCCATGCGTGGGAAAACGCGACGTATTGTTTTACAGTGATCAGCACACAGAAATCGTGCCATGTGGAAATGCAATGGACAATAGAACGTGAAACAATGAAAAGCAAAACCATGATTCAATTGTTTTGCATCATATTTAACTATCATCCAGAAATTTTTTTTTGAATGGTTTACATTACAGTTGAACAAAGAAATCGCGCCACATCACACCAAAATGCAATGGTCATCTTTGCTTTGTTGTACTGGCTCATTTTCATCTTCCAAAAGTACATGCTGATATCGTGCTGTGCTGTGGTGTCTTGGAAATCTTGGCCAATTACAGCCACCACCTGTCGCAAGTGTTCCGGGAGCCACTCTCTTTATAAATGGCATTTGCGTTGCATTTGTATTTCAAGGTGGCACAAATTCCACTTCATACATGCCTTGTCTGGATATCAGAATATACTCTTTATCTATATATGCAACTCGTACACAGACCTGACTTATGTTCCATGTACCTTGATATTTTTTGTTACCAATAAACTGTGAAAGTGTTTTCCAAATCAGAGGTCAGAAGCTGCTCGTGTAGATGCAAATTCAGTCTTTATTGCAACAATGAGGTTACAACCAAGGCCAGACACTTGCAAGTGTGTCCAATACTGTTTTACACCAATTTTTATACAAGTTCTTATTATTTAACAATATCTCATCACTTGAGCATCATCATTCCTTCAACCATTCACAATCATTGTTTTCTCCCTTGATCCACACCCCTAGGTGATGTTTGTCCATCATTTCTTTTACTGTTTGGCAGTGTCCCCCTGCCCAGCAGACCCATCAGCACCCTCCAGTTCCCTAGACCCCTCAGTGCCACCTAGTACCCAGGGTCCTCCAAGGCTTGGGAGAACCCACATCCTTGGGGCATTACCCTACATTTTGCCCCCCCCCCAAACCTTCCTCTGTTCCCACCTGCTCTGTCCCAGGACCATTGCATTTTGGTGTGATGTGGCGCGATTTCTTCATTTAACTGTGTGTAATGTAATCCATTCTAATTTTTTTTTTCTGGATGATAGTTAAACTAAGAATGTACCCTTATAAAGGTTATGTTGACCAGAAAGTCTTTGGAACATTACTATGAAATGTGGCAGCTAAGTGGTTGTTCCCTTGACCTCAATAATAAAGCAAAGTCACATACAAAGGCATCAGTCTGTATTGTCATAAATTTCTTCAACATTACATTGTAATGATTACATCATGGGTATTTCACATGCTTTTTAATAATATCATAATGATTATATTCTACATTGTATAGTCCTAAATAATATTCCATTAAAGCTTGTGTAAAAATGTGCCTGGTGACTTCCGCAAACAGAAGTCTTAATGCTAAGTGCAGATATACAAAAACACCAGTTACCGGACTATGTTTCTAAAGAGACACAAAGATATATTTAAATATTAGCAAAATGCACAATAAATAGCCTGGTGTCTGTGTGTGTGTGCGTGTGTCGCGTGTGTGTGTGCTTGAACGTATACATTGTGCAACTATTTTGTGCATACGTCTATGTGGTTTGTAACGCTACGTTGGATTTGTTAAGGCGTGGTTGTTTTTTCCAAGAATAGTTTTACTTTAATTTACGACCCCAATTCCAATGAAGTTGGGATGTAGGGTAAATTGTAAATAACAACAGAATGCAATGACACAAAAATCTCATTAACTGATATTTTATTCACAACAGAACATATAAAACATATAAAATGTTTAAAGTGAGACATTTTGCTATTTAGTGAAAAATATTGGCTCATTTTGAGTTTCATGACAGCAACACGTCTCAAAAAAGTTGGGACGCGGGCAATAGAAGGCTGGAAAAGTTAGTGGTACAAAAACCCAACAGCTATAAGAACAATTTGCAAATAATTGGCAACAGGTCAGTAACATGACTGGGTATAAAAAGAGCATCTTAGAGTTGCAGTGTCTTTCAGAAGTAAAGATGGACAGGGGATCACCAATCCCCCTAATACTGCATCGACAAATAGTGGAGCAATTTCAGGAAAAAAGTTCCTCGGTGTAAAATTGCAAAGAAATTGCAAAGAAAATATCATCATCTACAGTACATAATATAATCAAAAGATTCAGAGAATCTAGAGAAATCTCTGCGTGTAAGGGACAAGTATTCTGGATGCCCATGATCTTCAGGCCCTTAGGCAGCACTGCCTCACAAATAGGCATGATTCTGCAATGGAAATCACTAAATGGGCTCAGGAATATTTCCAGAAAACATTATCAGTGAACACAATTCGCCATGCCATCCAAAGATGCCAGTTAGAACTCTGTCACTCAAAGAAGAAGCTGTATTTGAACATGATCCAGAAGCGCTGATGTCTTCTCTGGGCCAAAGCTCATTTAAAATGGACTGTGGCTAAGTGGAAAACTGTTCTGTGGACAGACAAATCTAAATTTGAAATTCTTCTTGGAAACCAGGGATGCCGTATCATCCAGACTAAAGAGGAAAAGGACCACCCAGTATGTTATCGGCGCTCAGTTCAAAAGCCAGCATCTCTGATGTATGGGAGTGCATTAGTACATATGGCATGGGCAGCTTGCATATCTGGAAAGGCACCATCAATGCTGAAAGGTATATCCAGGTTCTAGAGAAACATATGCTGCCATCCAGACGACATCTCTTTCAGGGAAGATCTTCCATTTTCCAACGTGACAATGCCAAACCACACACTGCATCAATTACAACATAATGGATTCGTAGAAGAAGGGTCCGGGTACTGAACTAGCCTGCCAGTGGTCCAGATCTTTCACTCATTGAGAACATTTGGCGCATCATAAAACGAAAAATACGACACAGAAGACCTAGGACAGTTGAGCAACTAGAATCCTGTATCTGACAAGAATGGGACAACATTCCTCTCCCAAAACTCGAGCAACTGATCTCCTCAGTCGCCAGACGTTTACAGACTGTTGTTAAAAGCAGAGGGGATGCCACCCAGTGGTAAACATGGCCTTGTCCCAACATTTTTGAGACGTGTAGCTGCCATGACATTCAAAATTACCTTATCTTTTCCTTAAAATGATACATTTTCTCAGATTAAACATTTGATGTGTTTTCTATGTTTTGTTATGAATTAAATATGGGTTTATGAGATTTCTATATCATTGCATTCTGTTTTTATTTACAATTTACACAACATCCCAGCTTCTTTGTAATTGGGGTTGTATAATCAGGGATGCCCATAGCTGGCACACATAAAGCGATACAGGTGGCAATTCCTTGTTGTAACAGAGCAAAATCATATTTAAGTGCATTTGCATTTCATGGTTGTTGTGAAATGTGTGAATATCATTTAGTCTTAGCTAATAGACTACGCGTTATCATTTAAGTTAATTTCCCCTAATTGTATGTAACGTCATGTAATAAGGGAATTGGAAAAGTTGTCTGTCAGTGAACAATTGTGATGCTTGTCATCCTCACTGTTTTTGTCTC